TGCTGTCTTTTAGGTTGTTCGCTATCGGAGAAGCACGTCCACTGCCTTCCGGGAGGACCCTGCCTCGATCTTATGGAGACTCACTCTTTTTTCCCTCTTTCTAAGTTTTTAATAGTGTGAAAGTCTGAATCTCGTCTAACAGCTCAGTATATATGACTCATGGTCACGCATGTCTTTTTGTATTTGTGTTGTATCCTCTATATCATTTGCTTTTGTTCTAGTTCCCTGACCAGAACGAACATTGGTAGCGGGAAAATTAACGCTTACATTTGCCCCTGGTCTCGAAGTGTTGGTATCTTCACTCTCTTCATATGTTTTTCAGGTAGAAATACCACTGATTTTCTGATTGGACAAAACATAGTAGAATCTTGCTTCAAAAATGTCCGTAGCTGCATTCTACAGGAAATGGTGCTCGAACGAACATTGCATGCATCTTGCTACCCATAACTTTGCTGCACCTGATGATGCTGCTTCAACTATCTCATATCGTCTCATATCTCTTTTTGGTCTCATCTATGTTAACATTATATTTGTAGCATATATGAGCGCAAAAACTCCAGTCAGTTTTGTAATGCCTCTCGACTTTCATCATCTTGTTTTCTAGATGATTAGAAACCTCACCCTTTAATTGCAGATAAAAACAAGCACGCGAAAAAAGACGCTCACTCCGAGAAGACTTCAAAAAAGCCCGAAAACGTAAAAGCGAAGATGGCTGCAGCTAACGTTGTCTTTCCCCATTTAGCGAAAAATCAGCATCAAATAAAGCAGCTTTTTGAGGGTACACTCAAGAAGTTCAATCAAGCTCGTAAGTTGCTCATGGAACAAATTCATGACGGTTGTAAGATGTTTGTAAACGTGTTCGAGACCGTTCAGGTGACTTGTTCATGGCGCAAAAGCGCGCGGAATTAGCAGCAAATGTTGCAAGGCTAGAAAAGGAGATTGATGAAGTCCAAAGGCAGTTGGTGGAAGCTGAAAAAGCTGCCGGAAGTTGGTTGAATTCATTTTTTGTTTTTATAGTTTTAGGTAATTGGCAGAGTGATTGCATTTTATTATTGGGTATGATGTATGATTATTTGATTTTTGGGTGTTTCTTTTACATATTCCGGTTCCGAAATATGGAATTCTTGCAGTAAAGCAGTACCCAGTTCCGCGGACAACAAAATCAATTGAGAAATCCGAAGTCAACGAAGCTCCTCCCGTACCACCTGTAAAACAAGCCAACGCTACAACGCCTTCGAAAAAGGAGAAAAAGTCTGGTTCTGAGAAAAAAAGCGCTTCGGATGGCGGCAAAAAGGCTGAAAGTGAGTATATGGATGATATCTCTGCTAGCATCGAATGATCACAGAAGCTTAGACCCTCTATTCAGATGCAGCCGCTGACGATGGTATCGATGTAGGGCGTCTTGACCTCCGTGTAGGGCGAATAATGCATTGTGAAAAGCATCCAGATGCAGATGCATTGTACGTTGAGCAGATTGATGTTGGAGAGGCTAGTCCTCGAACTGTAGTTTCTGGCTTGGTTAGGCACGTTCCACTTGACCAGGTTAGTAATTGAGAAACATAATCACTAATTACTCTTCAATTTTTCCTTCTAATAATTTCATAGTTCTTTTACTTTCCTCCTATTTTCTTATTACCCTAAAATCTCACAGATAAGTCCGCCTACAGATA